TGTATCCAATAGATACTAAAGTAACCTACGCTTTTCTTTATAGTTATTTAAATAGTAGTGTATAATTTATTTTCTACTTTTTAGTGCATTATAACCTAAAAGCTTGTTATTAAAACGTTTTTTATGATTTTTAACATTAATCTTAATTTTAAGACAACAATGATATGAGTAATTTAGTTTTAATTCAAAATCCGAAAATCCACTTCTACCGAATATTTCTTATACCTGCACCATCATTAGAAGTCACACATGTGGTGATGATTCTTTGAACTAGCCTCTTAGAAAAATGTTCTTAGAATATCCTGCCTTATTGTAAACGTTTTTGAGGAACGGGAAATTAAAATACCACTCACAGTAACCGGAAATCGCTCAAACTTTAGCAGGAGACTACTTATACGGTCTAATTTTAAAAAGCAAAGAATCATCTTTAGAACTAGCTATCTAGTGGGCAGATGATGTAGAGTTCATGTTTCTTGACCTCGGCATATGAAGTGAAGGTGCCGTCAGTACTTTACCCAGCCGCCTTTACCTAACCTAACAAAAGTTATGCACCCATCTGAGCTGGGTTTACTAAGGGACGTTCCAATGACTTGGCCTCGGAATCAAACTAGAGACTTTCTGGTGAGCAGCCTAGCGCTCTACCGCTTAGGTCACACCGTCCCATTACACGATCTAATACTAACATTAAAAATTTCGTCAACGTATTTGAAACAGTACAGTGTTTGAGTGCTAAGGTGGTAATAGAGTAACGTACAACTTCAGTCAAGCGGAAATCGCTAAAACGTTTATACAAACTCACGCATAGTATCTAAAAGTAAAATGTGAAATGTCGTCTACCGAACTGACACAGTTATCGGGTTACATACAGACAAACAGACAAGATTTCATAATAGTGTTTTATTGACTCAGGGAGGTGTAAATGGTCATTTTCGATTTATTTATTTTTTGCATCATTTCATACTTCCTTTTTATATGAGAAAGCAAAAAATTAAAGTAAATGCGTTATGTATTTAATAGATCTAAATCATTTTGTTTTTGGAAACATTTTTTAAGTTGAGTACATTATTATTGTGACTATCTACTTAAACATATTAAAAATCTATTTTTAAAAAAAATTATAACAACCATTGTATGCAGATGGGGGAGTTCAAACAAAGCGATGAGAAATACTTCGTTAAACCGGATGTGACGTCAACAGAACAAGCGACAACTACGACAAGTTCTCCTCTAGATAAAGTTGTGTACAAGATAAAACAAAACAAAAAACGACCAGCTAGTTTTATGGATTACGCCATACCACGTATGTACGAGTTGAAGTACATAGTCAAGTACATACCTCCTATGTACAAGTTGATTAAATATTTATTACATCTTTCTAGTATCAAAATTAAATTATGGTATTTTATTTTATTTTGAATAAAACACCATTATAGTAATTTAATGTGGTAAGGGATAAAAATTTAATTAAAGCTTTTCTATATTTACCAACTATTTTTAAGAACAACGATCCCTCTCACTCATCCAAACTATTATTATTTTTTTTCTTATTGTAACACTAGGTTTTAAAAAAAAAGACTAACTTGATTTACGTAACAGTAAGTTATCTCTCCTAAATTTAAGCAATAATTCATGAAAGTTTGTTTAATATGTTGAATAGCACCAGAAGTTTCTCTGACAAGACGGCATAGAAAAATGACATGGGCTCGCAAAAATCAACCCTTGAACGCTTCGTCGGACCAGTCCCCTCCACCCAAGCGTGACCGACGCGCGGCAGACTCGACCTATTACATTGACGTCATCGCTGTTGTTGATTATGCTGCCTATAGCCGTTTTTACCGGAAGTCTGACTCTAGAACAAAAGCAATAGATAACATACGCGAGTACTACGCCTTTATCTTCAATGGGGTAAGGACTTTATGTAGATTAACCCTAAATAAACAGGGTTGATCTTGTTATGGTCAACATATGTATATAGCACAATGGTCTGGCAAGAAAATAAACACTGTGCTTATATCCTCTTAAGACTGGTTATATAAAGAAATTCTTATTTAATTAATTCAGTTTAAAAAAAAATTTCCTCCAGAAATATTATTTTCTGACTCCTAACTCAACCCTAATCCTAACCCCAAACTTGATCCTATCCCTTAACCTAAACCTGACCCTGACCTTAAACCAACCCTAATTTATATATATAAATAATGATATATATATCAATGTCATTAGTCGTTAAAAAACACAGTTCAAATCGGTTCCGAACCCCGAACCTTCTTGGTAACCACCGTACTCTCCACACTGCCACACCAACACTCGAAACAAATTTTAAATTATAGAATTATATTAAAATCAGTCAACCTATAACATTTAAAAATATGTTTGCCTTTAAATAGAAGTTTAATATAAATCACCTTTTATTGAAATAAGCAAGTTGTTCCATTCGTCAATCGTTGATTGAAATAAGCACATTCAATACACTGATTTGTCCTTATTATATACAAAGACCCTACAATATTGGCAGAAATAAAAAATAAAGTGGGAGTAAGCTCTTTACAAGTTGTCGTATCTAATATATAAAGCTCAATTCTGTATGTAAAAACAAGTTTGTTTGTTTGTCGTTGACATACTTGTATGGATTTAAGTGTTAGACTATTATCGTGCTCATAGTCTAAATTTATGAGTTAAAAAATTACTATTGAAAGTGTTGGGAAATAATTTTCATTTTTCAAACTGATAATAATAATTGTCGGCATGTTCATTAAACACAATTTAAAAAAAATAACAAAAATTCTAATTATGTCTGAAAATTATTTATATTTAGTCCTTTAGCACTTACTTCCCTTTGATAAATTAGGAAAACACAATTACTTCCCTTTCTGAAGCATTGCATTAGTGGAAAAGAATTTACTTTTTATTACTTTGTTTTGGTGTTATGAAAAAAATAAGTACATAATTAGCGGGGATTGATCAAGTGCAACTGTTGTAGGTATTTAACGGTTACGCTTGGAGTATTATAATTGTTCATTTGGTTTGGTTTGGCACCTACGTTCGTTTAAGTGAGTGCAAAAGACTATGAATAAGTTGGGGTACTATAGTCGTTTATTAAGCTGAAACAGGCGATTCTGCCCCGGGCTAGACTGTGAGCACTTTGCGTTTATGTTCGCGTTTGTGTTTTCATTGTGTTTAGGTTGGGTTTGCGTTAGTGGTTGCGTTTTGATTTGGTTCGTTTTTGTTCTTTCTTTTTTCGTTTTCGTTTGTGTTTTTTTTCTTTGGGTTTGTGTTTGTATTTGTGTTTGTGGTTGGTTTTGCGTTTGGATTTGGTTTGTTTTCGTTTGCTTTTTCGTTTGTGTCTTTTTCTTTGGGTTTGTGTTTGTGGTTGGTATTGCGTTTGGATTTGGTTTGTTTTCGTTTGCTTTTTCGTTTGTTTTTTTCTTTGTGTTCGTATTGGTGTTTGTGGTTGTGGTTGGGTTTGTTGTTAGGTTTTTGTTTTCGTTTGCTTTTTTGTTTGTTTTTTCTTTGTGTTTGTATTGGTGTTTGTGGTTGTTTTTGTTGTTAGGTTTTTGTTTTCGTTTGTATTTGTAATTGTGTTAGCGTTATGTTTGCGTTTTGTTGTTTTGGTTGGTTGTGGTTTGGGTGGGCAATGCCGGGTTTATGATGATTACTAACCACACAGGTAAAGGTCTTTAACAGAAAGGTTTTTCACAGAAGCCAGTGCAGGGCCTGGCCGGGACGGCTAGTATCTTTATATAACAGTAAGGTGTGGAACTTCTAGTAGATTCGGGCTCAAAAGTGTAAAAAAAAATACGTATGGGATGTAATACCTTTAGCTAAAATTGTGTATTCATAATTAAAACGGCCAAAAACGTTGTTGAGTCCATTTGCGCCATAAAGTGTCAAGGTTAATGACAATGAAGTGAAGCTGTACTCTTGCGGAAATACCTTCGGGTACTGTGTCTTTAAAAAAACTGAAACAACAATACGTTTGCAATTTAATATTTTATTTAACATTTCTTGCACCTAAATGAAAACGTACGCAAGCTTTTAGTAATTAAAAACGTAAAACACCACTTCCAGAAATTGAAAACATTCAAAAAATTGAAGAAAACTTACGTATCGGATCGAATACTTTATATGAAATTCTGTCCTTCAAATTAAAACAATACTCAGGTTATCTTGTTCACACGAAGAGAGATAGAAACATACAGACAGATTGCAAACTGGATCCACTAAAACAGACATAAGACACCGAGATGTATGAATATCTAAATTTATCTGTTTTAGGTTAAGTACTTACCCGCTACACTATGTAAACCAGAAAGTAAAAAGTAAGACCGACACGGTTAGTAAATTTAAAAGAGAATGCCTTACAACAGAAGTGTAAAAATATTATATAACACCCTAAGTAAAAAGACTACAAGGCAGAGGTAGACCGAGAGGTAGACGTTGAGGTAGACCGAGAGGTAGACCGAGAGGTAGACCGAGAGGTAGACCGAGAGGTAGACCGAGAGGTAGACCGAGAGGTAGACCGAGAGGTAGACCGAGAGGTAGACCGAGAGGTAGACGGAGAGGTAGACCGAGAGGTAGACCGAGAGGTAGACGGAGAGGTAGAATGAGAGGTACACCGAGAGGTAGACGGAGAGGTAGACGGAGAGGTAGACCGAGAGGTACACCGAGAGGTAGACCGAGAGGTAGACCGAGAGGTAGACCGAGAGGTAGACGGAGAGGTAGAATGAGAGGTAGACCGAGAGGTAGACGGAGAGGTAGACGGAGAGGTAGACCGAGAGGTAGACCGAGAGGTAGACCGAGAGGTAGACGGAGAGGTAGACCGAGAGGTACACCGAGAGGTAGACCGAGAGGTAGACGGAGAGGTAGACCGAGAGGTAGACCGAGAGGTAGACGGAGAGGTAGAATGAGAGGTAGACCGAGAGGTAGACGGAGAGGTAGACGTTGAGGTAGACCGAGAGGTACACCGAGAGGTAGACGGAGAGGTAGACCGAGAGGTAGACCGAGAGGTAGACGGAAATGGATTGGTGACGGCAGATTCAGTCCACGCGTGGAATAAGAAGCCCGCAGAACAGTCTAAGTGCCAAATGCAGCAAAACAGCCAAAGTCGTCAATGGAAATGAATTTCTAAGAAACTGATGTTTTTTTGTTTTTTTTAACTTCTCCAGATAGACCTGCTATACCAGGGAATAACAACAGCACCATACAAGATCAGAGTTCGTTTAAACAAGATCTTTGTAGCTGAAGTAAGCAAACCTTTCATCTCATTATTAAGTTTTAAAAATTCAGATACACACACACACACACACACACATATATATATATATATATATATATATATATATATATATATATATATATATATATATATATATATATATATATATATACCATTTACTACAAGATAAAGCGCACAGTGCCTTTTTCTACCCTTCTTTCCCCGTTATCTCAACTTTGCATTTTTCGCACAATTCACAATGCAAATTACTATGCGTTGGAACTCTTTGTCATATAAGACTTTAATTTGCCACAGGTATTAAACATTATACCATTTACAATACTAGGTTGGTACATTTAGTTTACTGCAATAATTTAGGAGATATTAATGTTTATGTAGCACCACCCTCTTATTTTTGCACATAGTTATAAATTTTAAAAATGTATTTAAAAGGCACTCTAGCTATCAAAATAAATAATAAGTTAAAGTGATATACAAAAATCTATAATAAAAAATTATGTATAGCTTTTGAGAGCAAAGTTATAGAGGTTTAAAAAGGTGTTAATTTTCACACAATTTATGCGGTTTTCATAGCAATCGTTTATGTTAATGGCAACGTTTTACTAATTTTGTATGTAGTTTATACACTATCAATATATGGATATAATAAGCACCTTGAAACATGTTAAATTAAATTATATTGTTTGCACTGTGGTGTCTAGCCTTATTTGAATTTCAGTTTTTGTTCTAAACTTCCCCCCCCCCTCCCCCCCCCCCCTCTACCATTCATCCACACCTTTCCCTAGACACCCTCGTCTTCAAAGTTTACAACTGACTACAGCACTCAAGGCTTGTTGGATGCTGATAAGGGTTTGCTCGCGTTTCGCTCTTTTGTAGGGGCCAGTGATTTGTTACAAGCATATGACCATGCAATGCTGTTCACTGGGTTTGTGTGTTACTTCATGTGTAATTGAAGTATTATATATATATATATAAATATATATATATATATATATATATATATATATATATATATATATATATATATATATATATATATATATATATATATATATATATATATATATATATATATATATATATATATATATATATATATATATATATAATATGAAACGGAAGAGGTAGGGAATTCGTTATTTTTTGTTTAGTAACGTCACAAGCGTTGGCTGAGGTTGAGGACCGCAGTGAATGTGAGCATCTAAGGGGGTGACTCCAAAGAGAAATATGCCTAATTTTAACTAGCAAGACTGCTAAGAAGTTTTTTTTTTACACGGGATGGATTTGAGACCAAATTGACTGTGACTTTAGTATGACATACATATATGCCTACTCCTTAATAGAAGAGTTCGTATGAAATCTACAGCAGGTATCACCCGACCTAGTGACTGCACTGATTGTATTGAATACGTAACGTGGTAGAAAAGAATGATGCTATATAATTAGTCCTTTCGTTTTGATTATTCTTTAATTGGCTAATTATTGGATAAATTAGTTTATTTCTCATTCTTTCTTTTAAACAGAACTCTTTACTATATATTTTATCGATCGTGTAAACCATTTAACAAAACGAAATTTTTACTTACCTATTTTGGGATATGGAGATGTTGGGAGAGAGAGTTTCTAAAATGTATATTATTGTGAGTAAACCTCTAAGTACTAATTTGTTGGTTTTATTTGCAGATACAACTTAAAATCTGCAGACTCAGGCACAAGTATAATAGGTTTGTGATAATATATATATATATATATATATATATATATATATATATATATATATATATATATATATATATATATATATATATATATATATATATATATATATATATATATATATATATATATATATATATATATATATATATATATATATATGAAAGTTTGTTTGTGTTCGTATGTCTTTTATGCATTACTACACCTTTTATCCGATCGCCATGAAACTTTGGGAACTTGTTGAAAAATACTTCTATGAGTTTAAATCTCGGAGGGGAGGTGCCACGACATAATGAAATACTTTGCGTCTCGTGCTTTTCCGTGAGCATTATGGCGTCTTCCTTAGTTCTAAAAATTGCGATACACTATGGATTCGACGGGCTACTATAATGGTTCACTAATTTAAATTAGGCCACAAAAATGTTGCTACTTGGCACCCCTAATTCCCCATTGAACACTATGGCGCCTACGTTTTTTTTTCAAAAGTGCCATACATTATGAATACGGTGGGGTACTACAATCGTTGATTAAATTGAATCAGACACATTCGCATTAGCCCCAATGGTCGGTAAACCTGCAGCATCCCGAGCTGAGGTCTATTCTAGTTCACTATTAAGTAGGGTGTGATTAACGATTACTCAAGGCTTTCACACAGCAAGGGGTTAGGCCATTGAGTAGACAAACCCACACCATAACAACTATCATCCACGAAATCTTGCGTCTGCGCTGTTTACATTTAAATAACCCAGTTTTAGAAAAATATAAAATTGGTAATGCATTCACGAAATACTCTTACAATATTGCGTCAGCTTTTCTTCTGATACTACAGTACCGCGCGGGACGAGTATGCTAGCCACATGTAAAATTTAGTCTTTTTGGTAACTTTTTTTTAAATACATAAAAAACGTTTTAATAACAATATTTTATGTAATAATGCATTAAAAAGTAGAAAATGAATTATAGACTACTATTTAAATAACTATAAAGAAAAGCGTGGGTCGCTTTAGTATTTATTCGATACCTTTACTAATATATGGGAAGAGACCCACACTTTTCTTTATAGTCATTTAAATAGTGATGTATAATTTATTTTCTAATTTTTAGTGCATTATTACATAAAAGCTTGTTATTAAAACGATGATTTTATGTATTTTTTTCAGTACTTTAATTTTTTTTTAAATTTACAATAGAGATGCTTGACTAAAACCGTTGCTCACTTAATGAACGTGATGACGCGTGTATAATGGTGCGGAACAGTTGGGTAAGACTGCCTACAAATTAGGTCAAAATTGTAATTCAATTCTTAAAAAATTAATCAGGCAATTAATTAAATCAAATTTAATGTCATGTTGCATTGTCTTCATGTCTTCACCCACGTACCAACTATGAACCGTACCTGTCAGCTCAAAGTGCCCGTAATTTCGCTCGGGCGTTTCGATCTAGACAGCCTGACGACAGAGACAGTGAGTTAAATAAAAGCTTGTAAAAATATCTTGAAAGCATCTGTCGGATCTAAAAAAAAACTACCCCTTTTAACATCGCTGTGTAAAAATTACGGTCCAGATCTGAACTCTAGACTTAAAAATTAGCAGTCTTATGCTCAACTATACTACATGTTCACGTGAGGCTATCATTACGGTACTGTTAACATATTTTAGAAACAGTGAAATCTTTTACAACGTTAAAAAACTGCACTTATATTGATTGCATGCCCACGAGTGAATAAGTTCAATAATTTTGAATACCAAAATCATGTTTAACATAGGTCAGGTATAGGCAAAAAATAAAGATCCTTGTTCCATTAAATATATGTACAAAAATCAATATAAGTATTGAGATCAAATAACACCGAGTACTATCTTAAACTGTTTACTGTTTTGTGTTTCAAATAAAACAACTATAAGAAAATAGATTTTTCATATATTTTTTTGGCAAATTTATTTTTCTAAACTAATCTCCATAGACCATGTCAAACTCTAAGGTACAACCGCTTAAGACTGGGGTCGGCGTGGTCGAGTCGGTAAAGCTCAAGGCTGCTAAACCGAAAAGTCTCGAGTTCGAACCCTTGGGCAGATGAGGCTCGTTTGCTAGGAGAGACAACTCCAAGATCAAACAACAAATGCCTTGTAGTTTGTTCTTGGTTGGACAAAGGCTATGGAAGCAATTCCAAAAAGAAAAATGTGTTGGAGTGGGATCCCTTCCAACACTAAAATTAAGAACGAAGAAGAAGAAGAACTTAAGACTATATTCTCTCATCAGGTTATGCTTATCTTGGTACCATGTGTCGGACTGACGGCTCTAGCACGTCCATCATTGAGGACATGGCGGACTATCAGGCCAGCAACACCGCTGCCCATGAGCTGGGGCACAGGTAGACACACTTAACTTTTCAGCGAATTTCCGATAACCGGAAGTGGAACTTATTCTTCTTTCAATTTTTAATTTTTTTAAAGCCTATAACTTGAGTACTATTTCAGATAGATAAATGAAATCTCAAAAATAAGTAAAATATCTAATTCGCAATCAAATGTACAACTATTGTTCTACCGGCGTCATCCACACAAACACTGTACACAAACAAAGACACGCTTACATACATACACACATACACGTGAGCTGTTGTATTCACGTGAATTGACGTGTCAGTTATTACAATTCTCAAGAAAACCTTATTCCTCAGGTAGCAGATATAGGTTAAGGCTGCTACATTAAGGTTGAGGTTGAGGTTGAGGTTGAGGTTGCGGTTGAGGTTGAGGTTGAGGTTGAGGTTGAGGTTGAGGTTGAGGTTGAGGTTGAGGTTGAGGTTAAGGTTGAGGTTGAGGTTGAGGTTAAGGTTAAGGTTGAGGATAAGGTTAAGGTTGAGGTTGAGGTTGAGGTTGAGGTTGAGGTTGAGGTTGAGGTTGAGGTTGAGGTTGAGGCTGAGGTTGAGGTTGAGGTTGAGGTTGAGGTTGAGGTTAAGGTTGAGGTTGAGGTTGAGGTTGAGGTTGAGGCTGAGGTTGAGGTTGAGGTTGAGGTTGAGGCTGAGGTTGAGGTTGAGGTTGAGGTTGAGGCTGAGGTTGAGGTTGAGGTTGAGGCTGAGGTTGAGGTTGAGGTTGAGGTTGAGGCTGAGGTTGAGGTTGAGGTTGAGGTTGAGGTTGAGGTTGAGGTTGAGGCTGAGGTTGAGGTTGAGGTTGAGGTTGAGGTTGAGGTTGAGGCTGAGGTTGAGGTTGAGGCTGAGGTTGAGGTTGAGGTTACGGTTACGGTTACGGTTACGGTTACGGTTACGGTTACGGTTACGGTTACGGTTACGGTTACGGTTACGGTTACGGTTACGGTTACGGTTACGGTTACGGTTACGGTTACGGTTACGGTTACGGTTACGGTTACGGTTACGGTTACGGTTACGGTTACGGTTACGGTTACGGTTACGGTTACGGTTACGGTTACGGTTACGGTTACGGTTACGGTTACGGTTACGGTTACGGTTACGGTTACGGTTACGGTTACGGTTACGGTTACGGTTACGGTTACGGTTACGGTTACGGTTACGGTTACGGTTACGGTCATGGTTATGGTTATGGTTATGGTTACGGTTACTGTTACGGTTTTATAAATTTGCCGCATATAGAAATTTAATTGAAAAAATTACACATTCCCTGGCAGCGCCGGCTATATACTGCTAGTTATATATACATTTTTTAAAACTGATTTCACACTTATCTTTTGGTTTCAGTCTGTCAGCTCAACATGACGGTGTGAGCAACAGGTGCACCGACACTTCCCGTTACATTATGGCGGCTTCAACTTTTGAAGAGACGCCAGACACGATGTACAACCCTTGGCAGTTCTCTTCGTGCAGCGTCCAATACTTCACGAAGTTCATAGAGGAACAGTTAAATACAATGTCAGTTCTAGTATGCATTTGCGGGTTTTTTTATAATCCTTTAATGTATGTTGCATTTATCATACCATATATATATATATATATATATATATATATATATATATATATATATATATATATATATATATATATATATATATATATATATATATATATATATAATAGCTGCATACCCGTGCTCCGCCAAGGTAAATCTTTTTAAATGTACCAACTTGGGAACAGAACAAAACTAACAAAAACACAGCATAAACACAAACACAACACAGACACAAACACAACCACAACACAACCACAATATATATACCTATATATATATATATATATATATATATATATATATATATATATATATATATATATATATATATATATATGTGTGTGTGTGTGTGTCTGTGTGTCTGTGTGTGTGTCTGTCTGTCTGTCTGTCTGTCTGTCTGTCTGTCTGTCTGTCTGTCTGTCTGTCTGTCTGTCTGTCTGTCTGTCTGTCTGTCTGTCTGTCTGTCTGTCTGTCTGTCTGTCTGTCTGTCTGTCTGTCTGTCTGCCTGTCTTTCTGTCTGTCTGTTTGTCTGTCTGTCTGTCTGTCTGTCTGTCTGTCTGTCTTTGAGTGTCTGTGTGTGTGTGTCTGTCTGTGTCTGTGTAGATCAAATATTTTTTTTATAAAATATGTTTTTTTTTTTAATAGACGAGGCTACTACTGTTTGACTAAAGTAATTCCAATAGATCAAGAAGTCCCGTACGCAGGAGATCAGCTTCCAGGACAAATGTATACACCCGATCAACAGTGTCAAATGATCTACGGAGCCACATCTAATTTTTGCCGTGTAAGTAAAGTAAACTGTCGACTCTGAAAAAGGGGTTACAAGTAAGTTATTTTTTGGGATGTTGTTCTGAACGTATCCCTTACTATTAATTCTGGGGACAGTTTTGACATTAGCCCTTACGAGTAAGTTAGTACCGGAGACAGCTGGGCAAACTTGTGAAGAGCAGAGTTGTCTAGAAGGCTCTAATCGGCCACCTAGCTAGCTGATAAGCTATTAACAGTACACAATGAACATTTCGTTTTGCCTGATTGTATACATGTCAATAAATATGTGACTTAATGTCCTCGAAATAATCTGCCTAGACGATTGTACCCAAGACATTATTGCGTTTATTTACCACAATAAAAACAACAGCAATAACATTAACATTAGAAATCCCTGACATTATTATTTCCTTCTTGCCCTTCAGAGCCTGTACTTGAATGATACAGAGGGAATATGCCGCAGTATGTACTGCGTTAACCCAGAAAATGCAAGCACATGTGTGTCTTTAACAAATGTCGCTGCTGTTAGAGGTACTACCTGTGGGAACGGCAAGGTATGTTATCTGCACTGATGCCACTGAATAGGGAAGAACTAATTTTTTAAAAACATTTTAGCACGAGAGAATTTTAGCCATACCTTTAGCTGCTGAAATCATCTCAACTTATATTAGCCAGGAAACATTGCAGCCATTTACAAATGCTTAAAATACAATTATAATTCTGACAGATTTGCATTAACGGCCGTTGTGTGATACAAGATGGGGCCCCGCAAGCTGACGGTATACAAAATTATTAAACGTTACTGCGAGCTTTTAAAACGTGATATCTTGGTTAATTTATTCTTTTTAAAACTAATTAAGAAAGTGCTTTTTTTATCTATTTTAAATCTATACAAAAGGAAACGTAGATTATTAAAAACAAAATATCTAGACGACCTTACGTTTGAGTAGTTTAGTTGGAAAAAAATAAAATCAACAGTTACACAAATTAGTTTTAAATAAGCTGCATAATTTGTAATTATACGCCATATAGTAATACAAAGAATACTTCAAATTAAAAACCGTTGAGAACTGTCTGACTAAATTATGAAGTCCTTAATATCTAACTGACCATTATAATAGCTTTAGGCATCTGACTGTTTCTATTAATAAACCTTACCATCTGATTACAATACTTACGGACAACAGACTGTCGATTACAATAGCTCTGGACATATTACTGTTCTTTATAATTGTCCTTGACTGTACGAAGACATTTGACCACAGGTGCTTTGACCATAGAAGTTGGATCACAGGTGCTGTGACCACATCGGGGGTTTGACAATAGGCATGTACTAAAATTCTACAAACATAAAGGCTGGTGAAAGCCTCGATGTGGTCAAACCCCCTATGGGCAAATAACTATGGTCAAAGCTTCTCTAGTCAAACAAATTTATTAATATAGCTCTGGGCATCGGGTTGATCATATTAATTGGCTGCAATATTATAAATCTACTCGCCGATTGTATAGGACTTAAAATCGGCGTAGTTGAACCACTAGAAGTAAATTTTTCTATACGTTTGTTTGTTCTAATAATCGTTACATTTTATTTTAGAGACATGCATGTACGGAGACCAGCCTGGAAGAAGTGAAGATTTCTCGTCCTGTCAGGCGCAAGTGGCCAACTTCAATGGATATTGTTACCGTGACAACGTAAGGGCAAAATGCTGCTCCTCGTGCAAAGCAGTGAGAAAAACCATAAGAAGTAATGCTATTCTTTTTTTCGTGTAGTTGTTAGCACAGTTTCTTTCAGGCATCTCTTCGGCTTCGGAAGTCCTCTATTCTCTCCCCCCCCCCCCCCCCGGAGTTAGTCCATCTCATTCGCCATCCCTGGCAAAATAAAATGTAAAATGTAAAATTTAAATTTAAAATGCATACTACCATCCCCACCCCCGAATGTTTTAAGTTCGCCACTTCCTAGAATTCTATTTTCCCCCGTATAATAATGTCTGAAAGAAACCATGATTGTGATCCTGATTGCATAACGTGATTATGGTTATGACATAGTACATATAAAACGAGTGTGAGCCAATAATGTAATAACTGTTATGCCATAAAAATGGCTATAGTTGAAAAAATGAATATATAACCAGGTGATTATAATCCGGAAGACCGTTAGAACTGACCTGTCCGAATTTTCTATATAAACATTGTTAATTTTCTGAAAAATGATAACTGTTTTCAAAACTATCTTTTGGAACTTAGGCTCTCTACTTCTCGCTCATTTTTTTCTACAAACCTGGGTAAATGAATCGGCCTTGCGGATATAGTATCAGTCAGTCTCTGCTCGCGCGTCCAGGGCTAAAAACTGACCACGAGTGAAATTTTCCTTACATCAGCTATATATAAAAAATTGCCAAACAATGCCCTGATATTTCGTGAGGTCGTAGACCAACCCTGTAAGGTAACAATAAAACTTTATTCCCGTCAGAAAAACCATTATAGTTGTTAAATTTGTCCAGATGTTGTATTTCATCATATAAGCATAGCAAAAAAGTAAACAAAGACTACTTCATTCGTTTCATTTACAAGGGAGGTAACTATTTAAAATAAAAAAATTTCAAAAAATTGTATACTTTTTTTAAACACAAACAGAAAATAACGAATAATAGCATTCATTCAAGTAAGATTTGTCTTATAAATTAAAGTACTTATCCTAATTAAATTATAGAAGTGGATTTTAAAAGTCAATTTATACTATTCAGGGAACCTCTGTAGTTTTAATTACCTTTCGATTTATAAATTGTGAACGTTGCATAATTGACTCTTAAATTAGCTTTATTGTTTGATAAACGTAAGCACTCCGCATATCAGCCAATCACTAACTATTTAAGCATTCAAACTTACTTACATTAGCAAATTATTCTGGATCCCTGTAAAAAAAATTTAAAAAAAAAAAACAAAAATTAAGCATTCAAACTCTCAAATAATGTTTGAAAACCTAAGCGAAGCTAGGCAGTATGCCTAATAAGCTATATATCGAAAAACATTACCCGCGTAAAAATCCTTTCTCTCTCTCTCTCTCTCTCTATCTCAGAGGCGTAGGCCGGAGGGGTTGAAGGGGTTATACCCCCATTAACCCCCAAAATGACTTCTGTTTTACGTTCAGTTACCGCTATTGACTTAGTGCTATTATTTAGTGCGAAAACACTAAACAGGCCGGGCAGTTTCTAGAACAACAATGTATACATTGTGATGAGAATTGCTTTTAGATCTTAGTTATGATTTTTTTTTATCGCGCTAAATTGATTTATAATAATCTGGAACGTAGTAGGCCAATGGGAAGCTGAACAAGGTTTGATCACTTAAGGGATGTGGAAGGGGTGAGAGTGGGATGAATTCTGGGTAGGTTTTTCTAGTATATAATGGTACCGGATGCGCATCTGGAAGGAAAGCGAGCTCACAATTGTTGACACAAAACTTTGTGTAGGTCGACAGAAAAACTGCGTAAGTGGTTAAATATAGACCTAGAGCCAAGAACCTACAGTACCCATTAAAAAAGACCAATTTTCTTATTCGCATAGTCGTGTTTAAACGTGTATGCTTTTACTACTGCAAATTTAAATTCACTTCAATGAATGGCAAATGGGGAAAAAAGAAATTAAAAACTACATTATAAACTGATTTCTTTACAAAGAAAAGTAAAACTGAAAATGCTGAAGATGAAGATGGTACTATTGCTCCTCAAGGCACATTACACCTTGAAATTTCCATACATTCAGTATCTTCGCCTGTTTCTTACGCAAATGATATAGGCAACTGTATAAAAGGAGTTATAATAGATGATAAAAGATTGTATTTATTAGAAAATATCTGGCTTCCTGATCATTTTTAAAAATTTCCAGCAATCGCACAAAGAAATTTAAACTGTCAGTATTCATGGTTACATAGGTGGAACTGGTTGACTTACTCCATATGACTAATGGCGCATTTTGCAAATATTGTTTTTTGATAAGTTTGAATTATAGTGGTGAAGGTAGTCAGCCATTGGGTAAAATTTTTATTTTTAAACTGAAAAAAAGGCAACAGACAAGCCGAATGAGCACCAGCAATGTCAGTATCATAAATTAGCAAATTTACTTTCCCAAAATCGTAAATTAGTCATGATGAAGAAAAATAATAGCCTATTAAGATAGCGTTGAACTTATCATTAAGTCAACAAATTCTAGAAAATCGTTTAAATAGCGCCCATAATATAAACTATAATTTTTTTGCGGCCGACAAAGTCTTGCACTTAGGAACATAGTGATTTTAGAGAATTTCAGGTAAAGGGTCCTATGAAAAGGAATACAATTTTCGAGCTTTTTTGAGATACAGATCCATGGACGGAGACGAAACACTAAAACATCTTCTAAAAATTCATCAAAAAATGCAAGATAATTAAGTCTCACAATTAATTGTTCAAAATATTGATGCGAAAAAATTTGCTGTCAATTTATTTTCTGTCTTAGTCGATGAAACTATTGATATAGCGGGTATGAAGCAATTGTTGTTATGCGTTCGCTACTATGATAACGACATAAAGAAAATAAGGGAGGATTTCCTACAAATCTAACAGGCAAAGGACTTGCACATGTTTTAATGGACACTCTATCAAGTATACACAAAGACTGTAATGTTATGATTGAATGGATATGATGGAGCCGCTTCAATGAGCGATCAACTATATGGAGCGCAGCAATATATTGCTGATAAAATTTGATTTGGTTATTTTGCTAATTGAACATCTCACAGTCTAAATCTAGCACTTACGTGCAGTAAAGCCGACAGACCGTTTTCAAATGGGAAACTATATCGTCTAGTTAAGATTAACAAGCGGCCTCTAAAATCACGTGATTCCATTTTGAATCATTTTAAAACACAAAACCATTTCTCACATGGAAGAAGACAATTTTATATATATAAAAGACAATATATAGTAAAAATTACATTTCGGTCTGTTCAATTTTAGTATCTCTAAAGTAAAGCATGTCATTATTGTTTGTTAATATACGTTTGTAAATTTTTCAAGTGAAATCAGTTTGACAAATCAATAAAAAGTATTTTTTTTATTCCAGTATTTATCAAGCTCACGAGTAATTTGTAAAATGTAATTCATGTATTAATTAAATAACATAATTTTACAGACTGCGAATATGATGACTATTATGATAACTGTGATACATCGGATTGCTTAAGCCCAACATTGAAAATGCAATGTTGCAAAACATGTAAAAGTGGTGTTGCATACACGACACGAACTACAAAATCGACACCAAAAACCACTACAGGTTGGTTGATAAATATATTCTCAAATAAATTGTTTTATTAATTTGACAAAACAAATGAAATAATTTAAAGTAATGGGGGAGGGAGGAGAGTTATAAATTGGTAGCACGTTTAATTTTACCCTAATTAGTAAATCTGTAGCATTAACTACTTTCGCTATAAAAAAAATTTGAACCTAATTGTAAACTGTTACGTTTTAAAAGCTCTATATAAATTGGACCATTTATTCACATATTCATTTATTCATTTATTCATTTATTCATTTATTCATTTATTCATTTATTCATTTATTCATTTATTCATTTATTCATTTATTCATTTATTCATTTATTCATTTATTCATTTATTCATTTATTCATTTATTCATTTATTCATTTATTCATTTATTCATTTACTCATTTACTCATTTACTCATTTACTCATTTACTCATTTACTCATTTACTCATTTACTCATTTACTCATTTACTCATTTACTCATTTACTCATTTACTCACTTACTCATTTACTCATTTACTCATTTACTCATTTACTCATTTACTCATTTACTCATTTACTCATTTACTCATTTACTCATTTACTCATTTACTCATTTACTCATTTACTCATTTACTCATTTACACATTTACTCATTTACTCATTTACTTATTTACTCATTTATTCATTTATTCATTTATTCGCTCGTTCGTTCGTTCGTTCGTTCGTTCGTTCGTTCGTTCGTTCGTTCGTTCGTTCGTTCGTTCGTTCGTTCGTTCGTTCGTTCGTTCGTTCGTTCGTTCGTTCGTTCGTTCGTTCGTTCGTTCGTTCGTTCTTTCGTTCGTTCGTTCTTTCGTTCGTTCGTTCGTTCGTTCGTTCTTTCGTTCGTTCGTTCGTACGTTCATTCATTCACTTGTTCATTTGTTCATTTATTTATATATTTTTTATTTTTTATTTTTTTATTTACTTATAAATAAAATAAATAGTAGACCAATATGTATTAAATCTTTAAAAACGATTTAAGCATCAAATGAAGATAAATTTGATGTCAGATTGTTTTGTCATCAGATCTTGATCCACACGGACAGACAGGGAAAGCAATTTAAATAAAAACTGATATTTTTCAGCCAAAATCTGTGTGGACAATCCAGCATTTACTTTTAGTGGTAAACAATGTGCGTCTCTAGCTCAGAACTGGCCTAGCATGTGTGACGAGGTGGAGGTCAAGCGCGCGTGTTGCGTGTCTTGTCAAAAGGTCAATACTACAGTTGATGGTGAGTGCTTTGTACTATGCTAAATCTCTTTCTTGTACCAAAACAATCGATTGAATGACTTGACTTACTTTGATTTAATCCTCTTTACTCCTTGTGAAGCATAACCTTTCATTTTTCTCCGGGCCCGGCTGTTTATTATAAAAACCTCCCAAGACATCCTTGCTGTCTTCAGTTCTCCAAGAAGACTTCGCCTCTAGGTCTGACTAGGGTCTACATTCGGCACTTTGTCCGCAATTTGAAAATCTGTCTATTACATTTTTTCATGAAGGTCTGCATCATCTCTGTGCTTGCCTTGGAGACTCTCTATGCCTCTGCTTCATAAAAAAACAGCTTTGACATTTGAATTTAAAATCATGATTTTTGTTGTGTTGGAGATAGCAGAATTTTTCCAAATGGTTGTCAGTACTGTGAAAACGTAGCGAGTTCTATTAATTCTAGCCATTATGTCCTACGCTTTGATTCTCGATTTGCTGATCTTGCTGCCAAGTAGTCAAATTCCTCCACATCATTTACATGTCCTCCGTCTATTGTTATTTTAATCTTTTCTTTGTTAATTTAATACATACGCGCTGTGAAATCGCTCTTAACGCGTCAACTGTTTCTTGCATTTTGTGATGCCGTTGTGAGAGTAAGGCAAGATTATATGCAAACTCTAGATTCTCTAATTTCCCCGTAAGTGTTATCTGTATACCTATTCCATAGGCACTCTATCGTCTGTTCTACAATGATTCAAAGAGTGGCTAGCTGAGATCTTTACAAGATATTTCTTTCCTAAACCCTGCTTGTTCATCTGTTAGCTTAAGGTCAACGGCCTCCTTTATTCTGTCCAAATTGATTCCAAAACGACTCTAGTAAGGACTTTACATGGGATGAAGACCAAGGTAATACCCCTCCATTTTGCACACTGAAATAAGTCGCCGCTCTTTGGCAACTTCACAAACACTTTTCCAATCCGTTGTGAACTGTCCTGTGCTCCAGACCAAGTTGAGAAATGCATGAAGTCGATTTGCTGCTTCTTCTCCACCTCTACCTTGTCGCTCATTTAACTGTTTAAGGCCTTGAGGATTTCCTGACTGGTGATTTCCCCGGAAGAATTCGATTTGATTCAGTAGAATAAACCGGGAAAATATGTATGCAAGCCACCATCAAAGCCTGCAAGGAGAAGCTAGGAAGAAAATCGCCCAACAGGAAGCCCCGGATCACAGATGATACATGGCAGAAGGTGGAGGAAAGAAAGAGCCAAAAGAGCGAACTGAATCAAGAACAAAAACACGGCAACAGAAGCAAGCATGAGAAGGCTACAGAGGTGAAAAGAAAATTAAGAAAAACAGGATACTGTTTATATATTAAGTGGCAGAGCAGGCCGAAACAGTTGTCGATAAGCGAGATCCCTTGACACTCTATGCAACAAGCAGAACTTGGAGTGGGAGGAAAACCAATTCCAACTGGGACAATAATGGCAAACTTCTAACATCACTTGAAGAACAATTGGCATGATGAAGAGATCACTTCCAGGAAGTATTAAACAGTCCAGCACCACAAGACCCAACAGACTTGGAGCCAGGGGATCCGTGTGACATCAATAACGGCTAAAGTAATTAAATGGGGAAAAAAAACTGGACTCTATAGTACATCGTCCCAGGGCTTCTAAAATTAAACTACTCTATAACTGAAATGACGCGAATCTGCTTATCAATGTTAAGTACATATTTTACCAAATATGAATGCCATAATAATAATTAATATTAGTTACATATTTTTATTTTAACCAATATTAGTTTTGTTAAATATATATCTTAACTAGTCAACAACCCATGTTCCCCCACTGTACAGCTTGTCTAGACGACACAGAGTTCCGGTACAACGGACAAACTTGTTCCTCTGCTGTACGTAACTCACGCGCCGTCTGCAACGACAAGTACTTTGAGCAGGTCTGCTGCATGTCTTGTCAACATGTTTACACTACAGTTCAGGGTGAGTGATAGGTACTAATACTACTATGTCAAATCGCATTCTTGTACCAAAACATTTGATTTAATAGAAAATAATTGAAATAACTGGACTCTAGACTACATCGTTGAAAGGGTTCTAAAATTAAAGCACTCTATACGCAAAATAACGCGAATCTTCTAAACTAAAGTTAAATATGAAAAATGCCATAATAATTAATGTTAAGTGCATGTTTTACCCAATTTGAATGCCAAAATAATAACTCATATTAACTACATATTTTATTTTTACCTAACTGAATGTACTGCTAATTTATTTTGATTATTTATGGCAATTAATAAACAACTGATTAAAATTAACCCATGTTCCCCCACTGTACAGCTTGTCTAGACGACACTGAGTTCCGGTACAACGGACAAACTTGTTCCTCTGCTGTACGTAATTCCCGCTCCCTCTGCAAGTACTCGGACTTTGCGCAGATCTGTTGCAAATCTTGTCACAGTGGATCTGGAAGCAGCAAGGTGCAGGTTCCTGTTCTCCTGGTCCTGATGATCACTTCTTTGGTGGCTGCACGCGTCTCTATAAAATAAAATCGCGTTAGTTAAGTACTTTTAGCAGTAACACTAGATTTAGAATGTTTTGTTCAAACAATTTGAGTTGTAATGTTTTATTTCTTTTTTAACTTAAAAGTCAAAATGACAATATACGCTTTTTTTTTTATTCATTTATGTTTTGCTTTTATTGTGCTGCGTGAACGTTATTGTTTGTTTTTTCTGTTGAATGGAGTTAGAAAGCGAAATAGGTTGGCGCTGCAAATTTAAGTTACTCTTTTGAACCCTGCGGTCCATAGCGAAGACGAAGAAGAGTTCAACCTCGGCATAAAAAGTAATAATGTGGTTAGCACTATACACAGCGGCCTATATATATAGGTTTATTTTATTTACGAGCTGGTTGGACTTATGAACGTTTTACAAACACGGGTCCGGGATCCGAACTTGAGACTTACGTTTAGTAGTCGTTTACTTGACCATGCAGCCCTATGATGATTAAAAATTCATAATTAATTTAAAAATCACATTGACTATGTTAATCTGGTGAAATATGTTAATACACTTCTTCGCTTTTATACAACAAATAAATGAACTCAAGGCTGAGATTTGTGGTTAAAGATAAGATGAAATTTGATTTTTTAAACATGCCTAGCTATTGAGGAAAATAAAATATATTTTTTCAAATGAAAGAATTCTGATAGATTTTTATTATACTAAATATAGAAACAAACACACACACATTACATATATTATATATATATATATATATATATATATATATATATATATATATATATATATATATATATATATATATATATATATACTGATCTAAATATGAAAGTCGGCAGTAAATCCCACGGATACACATGAAGTCACTGTATCGCAATGACAAGATTTTAAATCCATTGATACCAAGATGATCATTTAGCATAAGCAGATGTTTTTAAAGAAAAAGCCATTACATGACAGAACAAATGTAAAATTATTGCTGCCAGGGGCGGATTAAGCTTGGGCGGGGCCCCTTAATATATATATATATATATATATATATATATATATATATATATATATATATATATATATATATATATATATATATATATATATATTAGAATTGCAATTTAATTACAAGTAATTGAAGCATTGTATTAATCCTGGTTTGGGGGTTTCTTTCTACCTTTCGAGGTGCAACGGGAAAAGTAAGTCTACCCCTCTTTTGATGTGTACCAGTACGAACCGAAAGAAAGACAGTACGTATTTAGAAAATAAACAGAGCAACAAAATATTTTAATGGCTGAAATAGGACTAGACTCTAGATCAAAATATTAAAACTAAAATGTTTTAATAAACCAATTGAAAATTTGCTTGTGTACTAAGATGGGTAATAAAGTATCACGTGATGGTAGTTTGGTAAGATGGTTCGAATATGCTTAGCTTTTGTATCACGCGGCTGTCTTAGTCTGAATATTTATCAGTGGGGCTCGATGTTGGAAATATACTCAAATATATGGAAAAAGAACGAGTCCATATATATTTGGAAACAAAAAAGAAACTGTATATCACATAATATTAAAAGAAACGAAAAACGACTTTGCGACAGGCCTTTATAAATACATTTTTGACAAATATACTACTGTCAAAAAAGAAGAAAAATATATATAGCTGTCATTAAGCATATTCCTACAACCTATAAATGTTATGTGATGACATTATCTAATATGATTTGTTAAAGAAACCATGAACTCTCTTTTTAGTTGAATATTTTAAAACTTCTCTCCACACCTTTCTTAGTACTATTGCAAACATTTTAGTGCTGCTATTCAGGATCCTATGGAAGGAGCAGTCTAATAATGTAATTTATATTTTTATTTTGTAAATCTGAAACGAAAAAAAAAATTCAGTCCAGTGACACACGTTTTATTATTTTAAGAACAGCTCACTTTAAATAAACATTGTCGGACATGATGACAACTGCAGTTCGCTTGTGCATTTGTGTCTATCTAAAGAAAAACTTATATTTTCATGGAGAAGATATGTCTTATTTCTGAGCTTGTAAAAAAAAAGCTTACAGTTTGAAAGTTAAAACATTCATTGAGATTGTAAACAAAAATCGGTGGAATAATTGTTTTACTTTTGAACGGTCACTGTCAAAGACGTCATTTTCTTAACTCTTGAGATAAACCACATCATGTCCGTGTTGCTCACATGTGGCGTCTAAGTTCAGTTTTATTTCTTATAAATTTAGCTAATAAAAACATCGTTACTAGCCAACCTAAAGTGAAATTTACTATGGTTTGTAGGAGAAAATTAGCGGGCCCTAAAAATCATAAACTTATGGTTGCTGAACTCTCATTCTACCCAGAGTTTCTTCCAGGCATCTCTTCGGGGGGGGGGGGGGGGCTTAGCCCCCCCCCCCTCGAAGAAAGTCTACCGCCCCCCCCCCCGGACCGAGATGGATTTTATATAGTAAACATACACTTTTAATAGTGTCCGCCCCCCCCCCTCCCCCGAAAATTTCAAGTCAAGTACCCCCCGGAGAAAAAAGTCTGGAAGAAACACTGATTCCACCATCCCCTTAATCCACTACTGACTGCTACATATTACGATAAAACCGTTGAATGTGCAATTTCCATTTCATACTATAACAGAATTTTTGAAGATATACGATTCATAACAAATAACAACATAACTATTAAATGAAAACGATCTATAACTTATTTCAACATAACCCTTAAATGTGCACCCACCATTTCATATTGGCACATAAAAGTTAACTGTGCATCCTCTATATCGTATTAGCATATAACCAAAAAATGTGCACCCTCCACATCATATTCACGTGTAACTGTTAAACCTGCACAATCCATATCATATCCCCACATAACCATAAATGTACACTCTCCATATAATATTACCACATACAACCGTTAAATCTTCCCGTACAAAGTGGACCAGGGTACCAGCTAGCTGTGCGGTACCATGTTGTACAACATCGCGGTCAGGTCACCACCGTCTCGCCTGTGTTCAACCACTGTGTTCTAGATCCTGCTGTGTCTACACAGCTCATTGGTCTGTGTTCACGTCACATATAGATAAAACTAATCTGAACCAACGCATGTTCGATGGGACTAACGTGTTTGTTGTGGAGATCTTTAATTGTTTGATTACAAGTCGATGTTAATATTGTGATAATATATGCTAAAGACATTCATATGTTTGAGTAAAATTCGTGAATTTAAAAACATTGGAGATTGTACGAGTTAGGTGAGTGTTTGTTGACAAAATGTAAACACGTTTTCTTTTAAAGGTTTTTCTTTATATGGCTTATTAAAAAGAAAGTAAGCATTTTTCAGTATTGAATTAAATGGGTATCTAATGTGGTAGGCTCACTAAAAAACCATGACCATGAAATTTTTCAGTAGTTGTATCTGTATTGAATAAAATGGATGTAATCCTAATTAAATAATTAGTATTTAATGTGTTGGCTCACTAAAAAAAAAAAAAAAACCTTGACCTATGAGATGTGTTTAAATGTGTTTTCACTAGAGCTTGTCATGTACATAAATAAACCGGGAGTGATCTCCCCTAAACTTTCTCGAATATTCTAATATAAAATTACGAGGGATGGTAACTCAGGACATAGACAATATTTGTTATCCATTTTTAATTACTTAAACTTTTTATAATAGAATAGAATCTCGTAAAAAAAAAGAATTGCGCACCAAGTGAAAAGTTTCCCTTTCAAACCTGACGGTCTATGGGGCAAGTGAAGTAGAGTTCACTTGTTTCTGTGACCTCGGCATATGAAGAGATAGTGTGGTCAGCACTGTTCCCAGCCGCCTTTACTTTTCCTAACAGGAGTTAGGTACCCATCAGAGTTGGGTGAAGTCAGGGACGGTCTACTGACTTGAACTCGGGTTCGAACTCGAGACTAATGGGTTAGCAGTCCAGCTCTAGACCACTCCGTCCCACACCAAGTGAACGCCTAATAAAATGTGTATAAAAGTGCGGGATATTATTAGTACTTTATAAATTTACATGCGTTTTTTTGAGAAATCGGAAATAGCGTAAATTAGTACTTCCGGTCAACGGAAATTACTCAAAATTTGAGAGAAGGTAGAGAATTAGATGTTTTACTTACGTGTGAAATTTCATGCATCTATCTAAAATAGTACGCAACGTATAGGCTTTTGAAAAATTCAAAGTAGAAAAAGTACCACTTCCGGTTATCGGAAATCGCTCAAAAGTTGATCAGGATCTACGATTTTGATAAAGTACTTATATAAGAAATGTTATCAATCTAGAGAGGGTGATTATATTCACTAGTTATGTCCCTTAGTTTAAGGGAGTTAAAATCTTTGATTGTATGTTAAAAATATCATTCACTAAAACAAATTCAAACTTTTTTCCTAAAACTTAATTTATTAAGAAAACGTTTAATAAAGTTTGCTAACATAGCTTTAAATAGCTTACATAATTCTAACAAACAAACAAAAATCTCGCAACATTTACTCTACGAGAAAAACAAGGACGATCAATATTGCCCCCTCCCTTAAATAACTTTAATCATACACAGAAAACAAGTATAGTTTGCATGGAAACACCCCATCTTATCTATGGGCAGCATTGTTACAAACCCATCAGATAAGAATGAAATAAGACAGTTTTATGACCAAAATACATAGGCTAATCATTGTAGGGGGTAGGGAAAACTTGTAGGGGTGGGGGAGACTTGGCTATCCCTACATCAGCTTTTCTCCCTTTTGGAAAAATCTAGGTCTGTCAAAATTCAAATAACATTTTTTTTTATTTATACAAAATGTTCAGTTTATATCAGCTGTAATATTAACCTAACCACAACAACCAAAAGAGAGAAAAAACATCAATTGTCTGTGATACTGTTCCCCCTTCTCACCAATCATTGCAGTTACCAGATATTATTTAGATTTCAACTTTTCCTTTCCAGCATATTGATTGAATATTTCCCCACTGTGTAAAAAAAAATCTACTGATCGATTATAATTCTAGTGTACGGTTCGACCCACAAGAAGGATGATTTTGAAATTTTTCTCTATACTGCCTTGACATTTGGAATAGGAAAGACGTTCTGCTTATAAAAGTAAAATCCTGTAGTGTCTAGCTGTTTGTCTTTTCGAATTTTTTAGTGGTTTTCTGTAATTATCTAGTAACAGTTAAAAAGTCTGGTTCATGACCCCTGAACTATTTAATCTCCAGTGACCTTTTTTACCTAGATGTTGTAGATATGTGTGTAGTCAGCGAAATGTAAACACACCGTGAAATGTAGGCATGTTGCCGTCCTTAGGTAGATACACAGTTAAAACTAGGTAAGAAGCCGTCTGTAGAATGGGATTACACTTCTATAAGTAAATACACCGTGAAATGTTGCACCGTCAAATATAGGTATGTAGCCTATTGTAGCTGTCTTTAGAATGGACTATCATTAAGTAGATACACCGTCAAATATGGGTATATAACTGTCTATAGATGTGTGTAGTAAGCCATAGTTTAACACACCGTTATATCGAAATGCGCAGCCAGCCGGAGCTGAATATGCGGCTGTCTTGACATCCACACTTACACACACAACACACAGACACACACACACAGAAACACACACACACACGCACACACACACACACAGACACAGACACACAGAAACACACACACCCACAACACACACACACACACACAACACACTCACACACACACAAGGACGAGGTAAATCTATGACTTGCCTAGTTCCTTCTTTCATACGCATTCAAGCGAATCGTGACATGGTTGGAATGTCGCAGGTCACAGTAGGTATCAAGGCATCCTTGTAACCGTCCCGAGTATGTGGTGTATAGGTATCGGGGCTAGCAAACGTCTACAGGTTAGAACATAGAAGTGAGTTTTAAACGTAAATAAACGAAAGTGTTGTGTTGTGGTGCGACTAAAATTAGTAACTGTGCTTCGGGAAAACCCGGTTTCCGAGTTCGGATTATTTATTATTAACTATATCTAAATGCAAGTATGTAGTTAATTATTCAGTTTATGAGTTTATACAAAATAAAATGTAGATTTCTTTCATTGTTGTACACATTTATCTATTATTTTTTAATGTAGGAATCAATATTAGCTACTATTTTACTACTAACAACAAAACTCCATTTCTTTACAGTCAATTGCAGTAGCAAAATATACCACTAGTATGAATAACAAACAAACGAAACAATACAGATATTAATATAACTTTACTACTACAAAAATAATGTCTAGTAAAAGCGTATAATTTGACATCGTTTTAACAATGTTCTGGAACTCAGTTCTCTTGATCCTGCCACTACACTGTCCACCCCTAACTGGATTGACACTTACCTACTTCAGCTCCAGAACTAGTCAGCCGCAACAACCATCGAGTTTTCCGAGATATTTATTTTTCAAATTTGATTATTTTTCTATCTTCTTCGTCTTCGCCATAATCAACTTCCAATGGGTATAGGCCGTATACAACATCCATTATTTCCTGCACTTTATTTTTTTCCCACGTCTTTCCACATTTTCCCGACAACTGTAATGTTTTTTTCTCAATTTCCCAAACGCCGGGTGTTTTTGGGTCTTCCTCTTTTTCTATTCTATGTGTATTCCATATACGTACCTTATCTGGTAACATTAGCTTGTAGCCGTTAGCCTCAACTCATGGTTTTGTAGATCAACTCTGATTTGTGATGGTTTGATATCGTTTTATTTAATCCATTGTCTTTGTGTTTCACTGTTCATTAGGTTATTTAATTGGCGCATGTATCGTTATCTTACTATTTAATAAACGTTAATTGGCGCATGTATCTTTATCTTACTATTTAATAAACGTTAATAAGCGCATGTATTGTTATCTTACTATTTAATAAACGTTTATAAGTGCATGTATCGTTATCTTACTATTTAATAAACGTTAATTGGCGCATATATCGTTATCTTACTATTTAATAAACGTTAATTGGCGCATGTATCGTTATCTTACTATTTAATAAACGTTAATTGGCGCATATATCGTTATCTTACTATTTAATAAACGTTAATTGGCGCATGTATCGTTATCTTACTATTTAATAAACGTTAATTGGCGCATGCGTCGTTATCTTACTATTTAATAAACGTTAATTTGCGCATGTATCGTTATCTTACTATTTAATAAACGAATGTCAACATTTAGTTAGAGGTCGGGGCATTAGCGTGTACAAAAATTTAGTTCGTGCGATGTCTAAAATATTTTTTTAAAGATATAATTAAATTATTGCCATGACAATCAAAACCGTTGTCCATGTAACTTTTCAATGCAGCGATAACCGATCAATTACATCATTAGATCTCGTGATAAAAAGTAATTTTAATCGAATTGAATGTGTTTATTGTTCAAATTACAGATAAGGGAATCAACCACACGATTTATATTTTTTTAAAAACTGTGATAACGGTTTTTTTAATACGCCATATTTACTGTTGGAGGTATATTCGATAACATCAACAGCTTTTTAGCAAGCGATGAATTCAAATCCCACATCTCATTCAAATCTGCTTGTAATTACAAACATAATGTAATTGTGATGATTTTTTAATTTATTTTATTGTTGAGTCTATTGGCTATATATTTAAATTACTTATTTCTTTATTCTATAATCTCCATAATTTATATCATCTTTATATTGTAATTTTGTTATATAATATGTATGCTCTTTCCCCAGAAATCCAAAACAGGAGCTCCAACAATGGTAGATTAAAAACAAAAACCTCAGGGAATCAGACACACGACACCAAGGCTACCGGTCAGTCATATAATCACGTGCCATTCCACGAGATTCTCGTGCCAGTGTAGTGACCATGGAGGTGTGTCCCGGCCCAAGGGACGGCAAACACCCCGTGCTGCCCCCGTGCCGTGTGTGTGGGGAGGCGGGGGCGGGATTCCATTATGGCGTCAACACATGCGAGGCATGTAAGGTGGGTTGACATCAAACACACTAGTTGTAATACCAAGAGGTGCCAACATGTGTATATATACGTATGCAAGGTGGGTTAACATCAAACACACTGGTTGTAGTCCTTTGTAGTGTCTACATGTGTATGTGTGTATTTGTGTGTGGGGTGTGTGTGGTTGTGTGGATGTGTGTTCATTCTTAGATTTCATGTGTATGTATGTTTGGGGGTGGGGGGTGGGGGGGACTGTGTGGATATATATTTGGATGTGTTTTCATTCTTAAATTTCATGTGTATATATGTATATGTATGTTTCAGGGTGTGGATATAGGTTTGGTTGCGTGTTTATTTGATTAATTATATCGAATTTTAAACAATTTTTTTAAAAGTTATCCATTGACTCCTACTTTTTAGGACATAAATAGATGTTTATATATACTCCGTGGAACGCACTTAATCCTACGAAGCCCCTGAAGAGCACAGTGCTGCAGCTACCCCTTTTTAACAGACTCTGATTAGTTCACATCTCTTCTATTGAGTCAATGTGAGCCCTGCAGCCCTCACTACGCTTTCAACAATCAATCTCCATGGTTACCTAGGCCGGCCTACTTTTCTCTTCCCTCGTGGGTTCCACTCCAACGCTAGCCTCACGATGTTTTCATCTTCTTACTACGTGCCCCACCACCCCACTATTGCGAACTTCGTTATCCCTGTGTATTGATTACTGTCTTGTAATTTGCTGAAAACAAAGATTGAAATTTTTCACAGGGTTTCTTTCACCGGAGTTTAAAGCTGAGCCACACGTACAAGTGTTCAGGGAACGGTAACTGTGAGCTAAAGAAAACCAAGAGACAACGGAGTTGTCAGCTTTGTCGGTACAATAGATGTCTGCAAGTTGGAATGTCGAAAACTGGTAGGTGTCTGCAAGTTGGAATGTCGAAAACTGGTAGGTGTCTGCAAGTTGGAATGTCGAAAACTTTTAGGTGTATGCAAGTGGGAATGTAAAAAGGGGTAGGTGTCTGCAAGTTGGAATGTCGAAAACTAGTAAATGTATGCAACTTGGAATGTCGAAAACTGGTAGGTGTATGCAAGTTGGAATGTCGAAAACTGGTAGGTGTATGCAAATTGGAATGTCGAAAACTTTTAGGTGTATGCAAGTGGGAATGTAAAAAGGGGTAGGTGTCTGCAAGTTGGAATGTCGAAAACTAGTAAATGTATTCAACTTGGAATGTCGAAAACTGGTAGGTGTATGCAAGTTGGAATGTCGAAAACTGGTAGGTGTATGCAAATTGGAATGTCTAAGACTTGTAGGGGTATGCAAGTGTTAATGTCAAAAACGGGGAGGTGTCTGCAGGTAAGAATTTCAAAAACTGGTACATGTCTCCGTATCGTATCATTGTTATGAGAAATTCATTTAAAAACTAATTGACATAAATAAATGCATGCGATACATTTCTATTTAGAAGTACCCCAATTTAAGCTGCTCGATGAATATTTTCATGAAAAGTATAATGGGAAAAATATAATTATTTTCAGAGAAAAAATATTTGATTTTAATTGGCTTTTATGACATTTTGCTTCTTGTAAAATAAAAACGGCAATTTAATTTACAACCCACAGCCATAAAAACAGGTCGTTACACCAGCTTCAAAAAAACCAAAGACATTATGGAGGTCAAACAGCTTCAGTGCCTGGATCCACCTTACAAACTACAGGAGGACGAAACTACCGGAAAATCAACCCTAATTCCATCAATCAACGTACCCGGCATTGCTGGAAGCTCACAGATTTCCGTCAAAGACAATGGAGAATTTTTCCAGGATTCAAAACCTGGGATTGAACCCAGACCTATTGGTTTAGACACGTCGACTTTTACTCCTGCGTTAACGTTACAACCCCAGTTTTGTAACTCGCCATTCGTTGTATCACCCGGTGATCTTGGTCTTAATACTAAAACAAATTTGAACTATAAAAACGTTGAAGTGCTTGAAGAAACGTGTGAATATTCTTCATTTTCTTCACCGGAGCAGAATATGAATACGTCTTCGTCTGGAATTATTCTTGACACACCTCACGGAAGCGTCGGCAGCACTTCCGGTTCGGCGCGCTCTGATTGGTTGGATTGCTGGTCGCCATCTTACCAGCAGCTGGTAGATCTGGCCAATGGCGAGTCGAGATCTTCACCGTGTGATGAGAAGCGTTGCCTAGACGAGTCCATGCCTCTTGACAACGGAAACCTGCTCAACTTAGATGACCAATCAAATGTTAACATTCCAACCCCGCCCAACAAACAGACCAATCCAGCGAATTACATTTATAGAACGGAAAAGTAAGTTTGTCTTTTATTTTTTGTCTTATATTAAGTTTGTCTTATATTAAGTATGTCCTTTATTAAGTTTGTCTTATATTAAGTTTGTCTTACATTACGTTTATCTTATATTAAGTTTGTCCTATATTAAATTTGTCTTATATTGCTTAGTACATTTAAACCTTGATAGAAACTTATTAGTTAAGGACTAAACAAAAAAAAAATCTTCAAAAGTATTTGTTTATATTCAAAATTCAATCAAACCAAAATACTAAATGTTAAATTAGTCATCGCCGAGTTAATTATTTCTATTACCTTTAAATATAGCTAATATTACTATTACCTGATTCAATACTATTTGTCTGTTTATAGTTTTACGTATAGCTCCAAGTATGTAAAGCAACATTTGATAAACATTCTAATAAACATAATTAATACCCGTTCACTCACCCTTTCAAAGGCGCCTTTAGCTTGTTTCAATCTCTTGATAAACACTTCACATACGTGCATAGTGCATTCAATCATTGTGTTCTTAATTACAATTAAGGCATTGAAGAGTATTCGGTTGATGAAATAACTACTAATCTAAACCTGAAACTATACAAACTTTTGAAGTCTTTACTGTCTGTACTTGCTGTTGCTATTTATTTATTTTTCTGTCATAAATTTTAAGAGAGCCGGATAGATTTTACTATACCTGTTGATCATCTAATTAATCATTAGTTACAAGTCTATCAAGTGTGGCTACTATCTTGCTTGTGACATATTACTATCTGATCGTTTATTACAATATATTTTTTTTTATTATTTTACTTACGTTTTTTTTAAATTATCTTTTGTAGGTTTATAGACCCAGACTTGACAGTAACATCACCACCAAGCCAGACGTCTGCTAAACTTCTCCACACCCTAACACCCCTCTCACCTCCCCTGACACCTATCTCGTCTATTTATACACATCGGAACTACCCAGAAACCAAACCCCATAGCACAAAAGAGTACCAGCAATGGCCGTCATCTGACGCGCAAACACACAAAGTTCCACAACCAGTGCTAAAAACAGAAGGGGAGGTAATCGCGGAAAAAGTTTTTGCCAATAAAGAAGAGGCGATTCGGCAAATTGTAGACAGCCACAAGCAATATTTCAGTGTGCTGTACCGGTGCGTCAAGCGACACGAAGAAATTCGGGAACAGCAGCAACAGCACGCTGTAAGCTGTATATTTTTTTCATCATAAGCTTAAGTGATAAGACTTGGGGTTTTTATATAAGTACGCTAATTAAATGCTATAAAGCTTATTCAATGTCCTTTATATGGTCTCGGAATTTATGCTATAGGTTTTAAAGAGCCACTAACATTTTTATATAAATTTAATATTTGATTACATTAGTTTGACCTTGCACGCCTTTTGAAAGGTTGTTTAAACATGGCTCATAACTTGTTTTCAGTTTCAAGCACGCCTCTAGAATCTAGATTTTTTATTCGTTAGTAGACTTCTTTACTTTATATTATATTCATGTAAGAAAACGCTTGCTCGCATGAATATGTTGACCCGAAGATCGTCAGCACTCCAAATGCCAACTTTTTCACCTCACTGTAGCATCCTGGAAGACTATACCGTGCGTCACATAATAGTGCCTCAACTCGCGACATTTATTTTAGAGCTGTCCACTTGCGCAGCGAAACGTACCTGTTTTTCTGGACCTCCAACTCTTCTAACTTGCTCTTGAGTTCTGCGAACTTACCACTCCACAAATATTTGGTTTTCAAATCCAGCTATTTTATTGGAATCAAACCAGCATCAATTCCAAATAGCTCAAAGTTAATCTTTTTTGTTTCTGTGTTGAGAGAATCTACTATAAACGTCAGAGTACTTGCATTTGTTTTGAATTTCTCAAATCTCTCAGTGAATCCATCCTTCATTTTGTTTATTGTAATGCTGAAGTAATTCCTGTTAATAGTTGCTTTGGTTTCATCACGATATTTTTTTTCCTTGTCTTCAACAATAAAAATGTAATTTTTTTTTCCAAACAATCATCTTCAAGCAAGGCATAGGCTGTTTTTTCCTTGCCTTGCAGTTTTACATTTAGCTCGTTTATATTCTTTTTAATATCTACCATAAAGTTGAATGTTTCAATTTGGGATGGACAAGTAATATAAATGTAAACACTCGTTTATTGCTGATTCTCCAGCAAGAATGTAATGAAAGAATAAAGACGTTTGGTCGGATGTACTTCCTACCAGAGAAGGAATATGACGAGATATGGCGGACTACAGGAATGGATGTGGACAACAGAAAGGTCTGGGCTATTTTGATACACCACCCCTCCAGCAATATATATATATATATATATATATATATATATATATATATATATATATATATATGTATATATATATATATATATATATATATATATATATATATATATATATCGAAGATATAGAGAACAAATGCAGTATGTCCACTTTTTTGTGAAAGTGATGTACATTTCTACTTATATTGTCAATAATACAACCTACATAAACACTAATGTACACTAATTCTACACAGTGGCATAGCGAGGTCGGGTGTCACCCGGTGCGGCACTTAATGGTGTCACCCTCCCCCCCCCCCCCCCCCAGGCATAGAGACCCTTCCCAGGGACAAACTTTTCGAATTGCACCCCCCCCCTCAAACTTTCGATTTGCACCCCCCCCCCCTCCTCAAACTTTCGATTTGCACCCCCCCCCCTCGAGTTTTTCTCTATATATTTTGCTATTTTTTGCCTTGGTGTCACCCCCCTAAATGGTGTCACCCGGTGCGGTCCGCACCCCCCCCCCCCCCTCGCTACGCCCCTGATTCTACACTAATGTAGAATGCAAATATTTTATGGGATTTTTAAACTCATTTTTCTTGAGATTATGTGTTTTTTTTTTTTGGACATACTGCATTAGTCCTCTATACACACACACACACACATAATTATATATATATATATATATATATATATATATATATATATATATATATATATATATATATATATATATGATTATTTTTAAAAAAAAATTTAAGTTTTAAAGTACTTCTAAAAATCTCCCTTGTTTTTGCTTAAATTAATATTTCCTGGGTTAATTCCCTTTGATGCTATATCTTATTTAGGAGATCTTAAAAACATGGGAAGCGGATTGTGAGCTGCTGGCCTACGCTCTGGTCAAGTTCGCCAAGAAACTTCCTGGATTTGGTCTCCTGGATTACACCTTACAAGCCGACTTAATTAAAAGTAATTGGCCTTCTCGAGATAGTTTCGTATCATAGTTGTTGTTTTTTTTAAACAGTACCTCTATAAATTTTGAGAAACAAATACATGTTGCATTTTATTAATGCATTTTATTATAAAGCAAATACAATATTTAATAATATTATTATTCGTTGATAATTATTATTCTCCAATATTTTGAAACGGATTTTTTTAACAGTTCCTCTATAAAACTTGAGAAACAAACACACCATGTTATATTATAATAATACGAGCCGACCCGCGCGTATCATATGCCGCTATTTAGTTGTTTTATTTTCTACTTTTCAGTAATTCATAATTTGTGAATTCGACAGTAACGGTGCTGCCACTGAAAATATTTGCCTTAAAACACTATCAGTAGGTCGTTAAGGGCGATAACCCACCCCCTCCCACCCTCCTTTCCCCCAACCCCTACCCTACCACCCTACCCCCCGCCCTCGTGAAAGCAGCTTTCTATTAGTTACCTCACATAAGTTTAAAATCGTTTCAAACTAAATTATCTGCCCCTAACAGCCGTCACTAAACCCGGCTCTACGATTGTAAACATTTAGCGTGAACCACAGCTCACCAGACCATGTGGGGGTGGGGGTGGTTGGGGATATGCCTAGAGAGGAAGAGAGGGGGCTGATAGGTGCGCTTACAGCTTGGTGTTTTCTATGGTCTCCATGAAGAGAATTATATATATATAGATAGATGTATAAAACAAGTTACAATGTTTAATAGTATTATTATTAGTTTATAATTATTTTTCTCCAATAATATTTGTATCACTTGCTTATGAAACAACAACGTTGATACAATAGTATTTAAATATCGGAAGAACAAATTTAAAAATGTCTAGAGATATGTATATAGTCCATGTTTGCAGGCGCAAGACCGGAAATCAATATCTTCAACAGCGCCCCCTTGTTCAACGCTGAACTGAAGGTGGGCATGTGGGCGGGGGGCACACAGTTCTGTCACAACGAGTTCGGGCAGTTCGTCAACCACGAGTGTTTCCGATCTTACACGAACATGTCCCGGCGAGTACAGCGGATGTGTTTCACGGAGGAGGAACTGGCTATTGTGAAGGCTATCATGGTCTTTTCTACTGGTGAGTCGTTAGTCGTTGTTAGGGCTATCATGGTCTTTTCTACTGGTGAGTCGTTAGTCGTTGTTAGGGCTATCATGGTCTTTTCTACTGGTGAGTCGTTGGTCATTCTTAGGGCTATCGTGGTATTTTCTACTGGTCAGTAGATTGTCGTTGTTAAGGCTATTATGGTCTTTCTACGTGTAAGTGTACCATGCATGTGCTCAGTAAACTTATTTTGACGAATGCAGGCGTAGATAAATGTAGGCTCCGATAAAAAAAAATAATACTAGACAGAAAACATTTATTTCTCTCCAGCTTTCTAAAAGTACATCAGCATAAGTGTTTTAATTGTTTAAATTTGGTAAGCGAATCTATGACAACAGCGGCCATCTTGAAAAAAATGAACATAAACGTAGGACATCCACAGTTCCTAAATTATTATATTCCAACATAGTTTAGGTACTCAGCTATAAATTATTAGTGTAGATCTTCAAAATATTTTATTATTAATATTCAACTATTGGGTCCGGTAAAAACCCAGAGATTGAGTGGTTTTATTGGAATCAAATTTTGAAAATTCTTACAAAATTAGAACGACATACTTCTAATAACCTAGAATGTGTTTGCGTGTTTTAACAGATCGTGACGTCGTCGTGTCCTCCACCTTGCCTGCGGCCATCCACTGGCAGCTGATCCTGTGTCTCCAGTACCTGCTCGCTCAGAGATACGCCCAGCCCAACTTAGCCATGGCGGAAGTGATTCAAATCCTCACCGAGATTCGGACAGTCCGGCAGCAATGTCTTGACCTTTTGTTGTCCGGGTTTAAGGTGTTCAAGTACTCGAAGGTGCTGGAGAATCCGTTCTTGAAGGAATTGTTGTCTGATGTGTTGGCTATGTGTGGGGACCCGGAGGAGGACTACAGGCAGGACGTGGAGGAGGGGGTGACCAGTGGTCAGCATATTACAGCCTAGAAGACCTCTGCCCAGGTAAACAGGCAGGACATGTACAAAGAACTGACCAGTGGTCAACATAACAGCCTAGAGGTCCTCTATGAAAGACAGGGAGAAAGGAATGTTGGACAAGAAGCAGAATAGAAAATGACCATTGGTCAGCATATAACAGCCTAGAGGTCCTCTGGTGAGACAATGAGAGGACTTTTTAGGACTAAATGCAGGACAGAAATGACCAGTGGCCAGCATATAACAGCCTAGAGGTCCTCTAGAACTGACAGTGAGAAGGACTTTGTAGGACTAGAAGCTGGATAGAAAATGACCAGTGGTCTTCATATAACAGCTTAGAGATCCTCTAGAACAGACAGTGGGAAGGACCTATGCCCAGGTGAACAGGCAAGACATGTACAAAGGATTGACCAGTGGTCAACTCAGAGGACCTTTAGGATAGACAGTAAAATAGTGACGTAAATGAGAAGTAGATGTAGGGAATGGAGAGACGGCACGGCCTAGCGGTAGAGAGCTGGACTGCTAACCCGAGAGCCTCGAGTTTAAATCTGGGTTCAAGTCAATGGAACGTCCATGAGTCCACCCAGATCTGATGGGTACCTAACTTACGTTAGGGTAACAAAAGCGGCTGGGATAGTGCTGGCCACACTATCCCTTCATATGTCAAGGTCAATGAATCAGTTGAACTCTACTTCATCTGCCCCATGTGTCTTGTGCACGAACGGGATTAAGAAGAGAAGAAGATGCAGGGAATGGACCGATATGGGGAAAGTGATCGTGTGTTAGCTTTGATGTCCTCTAGCACCTTGATCTGGTCAGTAGGTATGACATGAAAGAGGAATTGACCTGTAGTCATCATGTACTATTTTAAGACCTCCACATTCATTTGCTACATGAACCTTCTCTATGTAAGAGAAGGATCTTCTATAGTAAAAAGATAACATCTTCATGATAGTGAAAGAGGATTCTCTGGTCTCGAGAGAGAGGTATCTAGGAGTGAGGAGGATGAAAAGTGTTGGAGGAATCAACTCTAGAAGAGTTTGTTCCAGCTAGCGAGAGAACCAGGCAAACGAAATTGTCTTTAAGCCTTATGAGATTCAAAACCACGGCACACTACATTATTCTTGTATGATCCATAAATACTATTTGATTTTATATACTGTTAATGCTCTAAAATTATAATACATGACCATATATCTGTAACTAAAACATAAGTGACTTATGTATTATGTTCTAAGAGTGTTTCTATCAGTTGGAGTTTATATTATAATCTCTCTCTCTCTCTCTCTCTCTCTCTCTCTCTCTATATATATATATATATATATATATATATATATATATATATATATATGTGTGTGTGTGTGTATATGTCTCCTCTCTGTCTCTCTCCTTCTCTCTCTCTCTCTCTCTCTCTCTCTCTCTCTCTCTCTTAAAACTGTATCCATCTATGCTCTTAAACCATATTGTTCTCACTGCAATGACGAACCTTACATTTTTCCCAGTCATGTTAAAAGCATTTAGATTTGTCGGTTTTTCCGCCAGTCTTTTACTTACTCCACCCCACCCCCAGTTCTTAGTGTTAGTATCTGGAGGGCCAGGGGTGGACGTCACACAGTCAAGCCTGTCAGGGTACTTCTTCTTCTTCGTTCTTAGTTTTAGTGTTGGAAGGGATCCCTTCCAACACAAGTATACGTCTCAACTAGTTATGCGCCATTGAGGCCATTGACTCCGATTTCAATCTGCTTTTCTTTTTGGATTTGCTTCCATAGCCTTTGTTCAACCAAGAACAAACTACAAGGCAGCAGTTGTTTGATTTTGGACTTGTCTCTCTTAGAAGAGTGGCTGTTCCCTCATCTGTCTGAGGGTTCGAACTCGAGACTTTTCGGTTTAGCAACCATTAGCTTTACAGAATCGACCACGCCAAGGTACGGAACTCGTGATTTTTGCGATAGCATGAGTTCTGTCCCCTACATTTAGAATAAATCTATCCTTGAAGAATGTAATATGGTAACATAACACACTATGTGATAAGTGAAACTAATCAACACGTATTAGTGTCTTTACTTGGGAATATACAGTATTAGATAAGGTATAATTATAACAACAACAGGTTTCTTTAAAGTTAAAAACATTTGTTTGATAAACATTACTTGAGCAGTAATTTTAGACCCACAAGTCCAACAGGAATTATTTGGCCCATGGTGTTTCCTGTTATAATTTAACCAACTCTCAGTTCTGAGATAGCGTCCTCATCTTTTATATCCTTAACTAAAACAGAAACTGCTAGTATTACACATCACTGTGTTGTGTTTGGTTATAACTGCACAGCTAATATAAGTAAACATTGGCCGACCATGTAATGCGAAATTAACAAGAAAAAAATTGATTATATTTAAGCTTAGGTGTCATATAGTGTTACCTATTATGAAAAGCTATGAGCTGCTAATACATATTCTTTTTCTAGGATTAAAAAAGTAAGCCAGTTATAATTAAATATCTAATAACTTGTATATATATATATATATATATATATATATATATATATATATATATATATATATATATATATATATATATATATATATATATATACATTAAAATGATGATCTTGTATGACATGTCTCAGATAACATCATAAAAAAAATTTTGACGGATGTTTGGATTTTTTATATAACTCTTGTAAACAATTATGTTATCAGCTACATATGTCATTATTTTGTCGAGGCAAATTTCATAGCTGATAAGCTGGATACTTTTTCTATTTCATGAGATTGTTGTAATATTCCCTTGTATCTTAAATGTTATTTTTAAACTATGAGTTCACTGGGTAATTCAATATAGCAGAGCTTCTTGATTAGGGTTAGATTTTTTACATTTTAATTACAAGTAAAAGTAAATGGTGAGGGGTTATGTTATTGAAGTAAAACAAAAACACTGGTACATCCTGCAAAGCGCTTCGGTACTTTTATATTCCCTTCCATTAAGAGAAACAGGATAGAAATGTGACTTACTCGTGTGATTTAGTAAATACAAATTAATCTATTCGCTACATCGAGATGGGAGACAAGAAAAGATTGATCTCATTAATACGGTAAGATGGGAAATAATAAAAATTGATCTCTACACTACGATGAGATGGGAGACAATAAAAAGTTGATCTCTTCAATGCGGTAAGATGGGAGACAATAAAAGTCAAGTTTTTGTGAAGCTGTTTGTGAAAAAATGCAACAAAAGCAACTTTGTTTGTTAAGTTTGTTTTTATCGATCGACTTCACGGTGTTCCCCCACTTCCCCAAGGAATGAAAAAAAAAATCAATCCTCTTAAAGGATATCGCATACGAAAGTCGGCTTTTTAATCCGGAATCTGGGTTTATATATCGGCTGTTGCTTCTTAATAACTATAGATTAGAATTAAAAGTATTCAATTCTACTTGTATTCGCTCCTTGCGTAACAAACAACAGCACGGGCGTCGCATAATGTGGGGTTAAAATAGGTCAGATGAACCACGCCCCATAGAAAAATGAAAATAAAACAATTCAAATTTATAAAATCCTAAGGACACTTGTGAATATATATATATATATATATATATATATATATATATATATATATATATATATATATAATTATAATTATAATTTGATGAAGTTCAGGTGAAAGGGTAAAAAATGTTCAAAAATTAAAATTGCTTATTTGTTAAGTACTTTAAAATAAAACAGTTAATTTTTTTAACATACGGAACTTCATTGTCTATTAATATCAGTCTGAAACAAAACACAGTATATTAATTAACTTTATTATGAATAGGCCAGCGAAACTTCAAAATGCATAAAAACAAAACGGTCTTATCTTAAAAGATAAAACAGTATGTACATGCCAAATTTGTAAACATTTTAAACGTTATAATATCATAAACAACTAACTCTACTTCAACTGACTCTTGGGATCAGAGAAGTAGTCATGACGTCACAATGGATTATGGCAAGTTTTGTGGTCAAAACTTTACCCAGTCGCCTTTTACTTTTTATTTATCCGGTACCAAATAGAGCTGAGTGGACTCAAGATATCTTATAGACACGAGTAAACTCGTCAAACTTATACACATTTTCACAGATATTTTATTTACATTTTGTTCTATTGAACATTACATTTTTCCCAAATTAAAATTAAATTTTTGTAAGGGATATATGGGTAGGTTCAGTCTAACTAGGAGGCACGGAGCAAGGAAGGGGTTGGAGATGGAGAACCCTTATTTTCTATACTGAAATAAGTTTTCACTTGTTAAATAAGTAGGCTTCTAAACACCCGTAGTGGTCGGGTCGGTAAAACTCATGGTTTCTGAGCCAAAAAGTCCCGAGTTCGAAACCCAGGTAGATCAGAGGACAGCAACCCAAATCGGAGAGCAAACTCCAAAATTAAACAACTGCTGCCTTGTAGATTTTTCTTTGATAAGAAAAGGCTATGGAAGCAAATCCAGAAAGAAAAATAATCTAAAATAGGAGTTAACGGGCTATATTGCACATAACACGTTGACACATAATACTTAATAATGTTGAAGGCTTATCGTACCACATCACAATTCAGCACGAAGAAAACAACGATATAAATAGGTGAAAACTAGGATCGACCTTTTGACACTGGCCAGTTTCACCACTGGTAAACAAGGGATCGATTCCAACAGATCGATACTGTCCGTGTGAGGGATGCCGGTCGATAGCTGGGAATTTCGGGAGAGAAAAAAATTGACCCGTTAAGATCAGACAGCTAGGAATGTTTGGTGTGTGCGGCAGATTTCTGGATACCTCAGTCAACATTTGTGGATAGTCAACTTACAGTGGGCACTCAGGGGTCAGACAGGGTTGGACGTGAGTAGAAACAGGTAAGTCGTTCAAGTCATTCTAGTGTAGATGAGCCCATAATATGCATATAAGCCCATATATATATATATATATATATATATATATATATATATATATATATATATATATATATATATATATATATATATATATATACTGAATATATATAATTATTATAAATTTCCCACAATACACACAGACACATAGGCTATCCCCCATTTATATATATATATATATATATATATATATATATATATATATATATATACATATATATATATATATATATATATATATATATATATATATATATATATATATATATATATATATATATATATATATATATTTCTTTGGTGGTTGTATGGAGGGGAGGGTAACACCATGAAGTGCCGCACCGGGTAACGCCTCTGGAAAAGCACGTTGTACTCATACGTGCAGCATTAAGTATCGATTCTCAGTTGGGTAGCTTGCTCCGGCGACACCTTTGCCTTCTGCTTTGTACCGTCAATATGTAGACCGCCATGATGAATAAATAATGCACACATTATTTAACCATGTCGCTCCTAAAAATGTAATTACGCAACATGCGACATTTGAGCACATGTTAAGTTAACCCTTACCATATATGGACCGTTGAGCAAACCCCTGATGTGGATAAACCACCTGTGGCCAAAGACCCGGTGTGCACCACACATCTATGGTCAATACCCCTCAGTGTTCGAACCCCCTTTTCTAAAAGCCCCTGCGGTTAAAGCCCCTATGGGTGAATCCTCTAGAGTCAAACCACCTATGGTTAAACCCTCTATGGCTATTGCGCAACAAAAATCACCACTGGCTCTCCTGTGAGTACTATTGCGACTACGTTCGGGCAATAATAATCGTTCATTATATCGAATCAGGCGGGTCCTCCGGCGCCCAGGGCTCATCCTTGATCAATATGGCGCCTACGTTCATGTTTCAAACAGTGCGATAGGTTATGGATACAATGGGTTGCTATAGTCACTCACTAAATCAAATCAGGCGCATACGTTCGATTTAATATCGCACTCGATGAGGTATTATTGTCGTTCAATACATTGAATCAGACGCGTCCGCTGGCGCCCCGGCAGGATGCGGTTTTACGCCCTAAATTATCATTATGGCGCCTACGTTAGTTTTAACCAGCACCCTACAGTATTGAGACGGTGGCACACGACATTCGATGCTAAAACCGAGCCAGGGACTGTACGCGGCGCCCTTGCCGTAGTGTAACTGGGGGCTACCGCGAGCGCCCCTCCACGTCCCTGATACCCGGACAGTCGTCGAAATGTGTTCTACCTTAGTATTAAGTAAGCATTATGAAGAG